CAATCTCTCCTGCACCTGCTTCTACCCGTATCCCTCCGTACACACACTGCAGCCTCTATCACTTCTGCACCCATTACAGTCTTTATTTGCACTGCACTGTCTACAGCCTCAATCCACACACATACAATAGCCAATATTCACACACTACAACACAACCAGACCCACCTCTCCACTCACATACACTGCATACTACACTGCAAACAGCATCATTCACATACACAAACCCACAAGGAGTCTCACTGTTTGCACACAATCCCAATCCCCACCCATGTAATACTCCATACAGCCCCTACACACACACAATTACTTTTATAGCACGTAATATTGTAGTGTATATAGTATATACATAGCACCAACAAATTCTACAACGCTGTACAATAGGTAAAACAAGGCAAACTGCTATTTCTAACACAACACATTTGACACATAGGAACACAAAACCACAAGCAGCATCCCACACGCAGGACCACAGTTTACCTCCAAACACGTGTTTGGGGCCTATTTGCAGGCTTGCACATGGGGGACACTGCTTGTGATATAACCAGCTAACATAGAGGAAGTGTATCATTAAATTTGCTTTATTGCTTTGTTTTAAAAGAGGGAGCAAGGATTACTCCATCAAAACACAGTGTTTAATTAAAACACTTTGTTTGGTTGGATTAACCCCTTAAATGTAAATCTGGCCCTGTTTGGGTGTCATCCTTCTGGGTGCCGGCAGTGAACTCATACTATCTGTGTAACGGAGCCCAGTACTCTGGCTGATTACCTTGGTCAGTAGTTCCGTCTACTTGGAGGATATTGCGCTGTAGTGATTATAGCTCATCCCCAAACACTAAACGACCCATAGTGAAGGGTACAACAACAACATTTATTGTAACCAAACAGGCATATTTATAGGGACAATAAATGGGACAGTAAGTTCCTGCTACTGTGCCTGGGAGTTAATTTGAATATTTATTGCTGACTTTTATAATCTCCAGACATCAGGACGTTGTATAAAAAACTCTAAGAATCATATTTTTTTATTAACAATACATTAACAATTTAGGAACCCCGGACAGGGTTAACTCCCACAGACTACATTTCCACAAAGCGCCCAGCCGGATGTACCCAACCTGAGAAATCGTTGAGTAAAGTTTGGCCTGGCTGGGGCTACTTTCCGATCTGACGTAGAGTTCCGACGTCTTGGCTAAGTAGAGGTTTTTGAAAGGAGATGTGTTTCTGGCTTTGAAATGAGGGGTCAGCCTTGCTCTGGGTGAGTGGCGATAGTTTCCTCTTCTCCCATCTCTCCTCCAAAAAACACTCTACTGTATGCTTGGTTAAGGGCGCAGGAGTGGTCAGCAGTTTCACCAGGCAGCAGCCTCGAGTCAGGCCAAATTAGCCAGGCCAAATTATTTTATATAATATTTTTACATAATTAAGTCATTTCATTAATTACAATTTGAGTGGCTTGCCTGACAACCCATGCAGAAAGTCCACAGAATTTGGTTCACAAGCCCTATATTCAGGGCCGGTGCAAGGATTTTTTAGTACTAAGATTATTTTGGCACCCCCCTGTCCCCTGTCCCCCATCCCCTCAAACAAAAGCATCTTCACCTGTGTGCCTCTTAACCCCCCTTTTGAATGTCTCACCCCCTTTAGTGTATCTTATTATTTTATTATATATATAGCGCCAACAAATTCCATAGCGCTGTACAATGGGTGGACTAACAGACACATAATTGAGATCAGACCACTGACATACAGGGACAGAGGGGTTGAGGACCCTGCTCGATGAGCTTACATGCTAGAGGGAGTGGGGTATAGTGACACAAAGGGTTAAAGTAGAGGAATTAAAGCTTATGTCCTGTTGTTCCCCATTGTGTGTCTTACACCTCCCTTTTTTTTTTTGCATATTTTTCGTAGATTAAACGGTGAGACTCGCTGGTCTCTACATTTATATAACTTTTATACATCAATAACATAAATACCAAGGAGTTCAAGAGAGAATCTTATGTTTTGTAGGCATAACGGCTCGCAGGCCCAGGTAATTGTGGGACTCGCAGGTCCGTGATGGTTTCCATAGATATGTGTGGGGGTATTCTCTCCTTGCTTTAGGATTCATACAAGTTTGCTTCAGCTATGATATTAATCCCACATCTTGAGCACCGAATTCCCCACTTCGTGAGTGTTTGTCTAGTGGAGGTGGGGGGCGCACATTATCTCTGGCAGCGGATTTGTTCGAGACCGTGAATCAGAGTTTCTCTCCTCGTAATATATTTTGGTGTTTAGCTCTAGGTCATTGTGTAATGTGTTGAACTTAATGTTTGAGGTTTCACAAGGTGGATATTTATGTTGTTCATCTATCGGTAACACGGTCTCAGTATTATGTGAAGGATTGTCTTACACCTCCCTTGTGTATTTCTTACAACCCCACTTTGTGTGTCTTACTCCCCCCAGCCCTTTTGTGTTTCTCCTTCTCTCCCAGCCTATTTGTGTCTTTTACTCTTTCCAGCTCATTCATGTGTTTCTGTTTCACCCCCAGCCCATCTGTCTCCCTAATCCCCTCTGTGTCTCTTTTTCCTCTTCTCCAGCCACTCTGCGTCCTTTACCCCCAGTCCCTTAGTTTTTCCACCCACCAGGTCCTTCTGTGTGTCTCTGACATCTCCAGCCCCATCTGTGTTTCTTTCTACCCCCTCACGTCCCTCTGTGTGTCTTTCTCCCCACTCAGGCCCTCCTGTGTGCCACTCTCCCCTCCATGTCCCTTAGTGTTCCCCTCCCCTCCTTATCCCTTACCTGTGCTCTCCCGTCCCTGTGCCTTAGTGGTCCCCTCCCTGTCCCTTAGTGTTCCTCTCCCCTCCATGTCCCTTAGTGGTCTTCTCCAGAATGTACGATAAAGGAAGGTTAAACATTAGATCTCTCTTTACATGTAGTGTTTAGGAAGGCTTTGCAAGTCACAAGTGGGGAAGTGTGACTAGGGCTGTTTGGAGAACTCTGAGGACACCACTGGTGGTTTGTCCCTAAATATGCCTATATTTATTGTGATAATATGAGTTTTAAAAAATAAGCGATTAAGAAAGAGAACACTATCCGGTTAGTCTCTCTTTATTAAGTAACCACCTTAGGGAATGCAGCACCTATTGAAATGAAATTTAGGGCTATCCTTGAGTTTGCCAAATTCAGATTTGTTTTTTAATAAACTAATTTTGGATGCTTATTATTGTTATTTCTAAAATAATTGCACTTACGTCAGGTTTTTGGAATCCAGGTGAGTATTTATTTGCTTCTCGCCTTCCTTTTTAATTTTGGGTGTTTTTAACCATTTCTTTTATATTGTAATTGTGATTGCGTGGACTTTGTTAATGTCTCATTTAACGGCCGGTAACATACCACACCTTTGCAAAACTATTATACGATAGTACATAGAGTATAGAACACCTGTTTACCAGCTCACAGAGCTATTAATCCATATAATATAATCCATAGAACTAGCACATTTTGAGAACCACACCTGACATTCTACCCTGCTGAATGATGACTGCATTGGAATTAAACAAGGGAAGTGAGGGGTATTTGGGGAATATGGCCACTGGAAATTACTTAGTGGACTAACTGGGCTGCCTGAACTTACATCCACTTTCACTAAACTCTACAAGGAAACAAATCAAAGATTTAAAGGGACACTATAGTCACCTGAACATCTTTAGCTTAATGAAGCAGTTTTGGTGTATAGAACATGCCCCTGCAGCCTCACTGTTCAATCCTCTGCCATTTAGGAGTTAAATCCCTTTGTTTATGAACCCTAGTCACACCTCCCTGCATGTGACTTGCACAGCCTTCCATAAACACTTCCTGTAAAGAGAGCCCTATTTAGGCTTTCTTTATTGCAAGTTCTGTTTAATTAAGATTTTCTTATCCCCTGCTATGTTAATAGCTTGCTAGACCCTGCAAGAGCCTCCTGTATGTGATTAAAGTTCAATTTAGAGTTTGAGATACAATTATTTAAGGTAAATTACATCTGTTTGAAAGTGAAACCAGTTTTTATGTTCATGCAGGCTCTGTCAATCATAGCCAGGGGAGGTGTGGCTAGTGCTGCATAAACAGAAACAAAGTGATTTAACTCCTAAATGACCATGAATTGAGCAGTGAAATTGCAGGGGAATGATCTATACACTAAAACGGCTTTATTTAGCTAAAGTAATTTAGGTTGACTATAGTGTTCCTTTAATGAGACACCTAACATTCCTAAATGTCCATCACTGTCATTATGTGACAAACAATGTGTTCTTGCAGATAATCACTGTATAAAGTAAGCAAAAATGTCAGGATAAACCATGCTTTTCTAAGTTGCTTTGCATACAGCAGTGACCAATGATTTTGCAGTTGGCTAGAATGTTAGTGTAACACTGAATATTACTTACTATACAGGCTGTTCTGTCTCCCTTCCTGTACCTCCCTGTATCTGCAGCAAATTGGTCCATACACGGGCGGGCTACACTGCACGGGCACTGCCATGTTGGAGCCTGCAGGCGGACCGCAGGGGACTTTGGGGGAGGTGAAAGTCGCGCCCTCCTCCTGAAATCATCAGGAGAGTGCGGCACAGACTTCACCTCCGTTTACATTAAGGGAGGAAGCCGGGAGAGCAAGGGTAAAGGTAGGCTGTAGAAAAATCTGAATCCCTGGTTTGCATTTCTGTTTTTTCACATTGAAATTTGCCAGATTGGTTATGTTGCCTTTGAGACCGTATGGTAGCCCAGGAATGATGATTACCCCCATGATGGCATACCAGTTGCAAAAGTAGACAACCCAAGGTATTGCAAATGGGGTATGTCCAGTCTTTTTTAGTAGCTACTGAATCACAAACACTGGCCAAAATTAGCGTTCAATTTAGTTTTTGAATTTTTTTACATACAAACAAATATAAATTCCAGAAAATAACTCAAATGCAATTTAAAAAGGGAATTAAAACGATATAAAACAAACTAAGGCATATCTATCTAATGAGGGCTTTAATTAATTGCAAAAAGGTTAGATAGCGCCCGCGGGATTCAAACCCCCAAGAGGATTATTCAGCTTTGAATGTCAGAGAAGTAACTGCTGAGCTACAGCCAACCCGGAAGCTGAAAGCTTGTCCCTGTTATGATCAGTCTGTTGAGTGCTGACATTTCAGCTTAGTGTATTTCTTGTTAAAGTTAAACACACCCTTTCTAAGTTTTGCATTCTCCTAATGTTTTTTAGCAGTGGTTTTATTCTCCTGCATTAATAGTTTTAATGAAAGTACCACTGAGATAATAGCCAACCCAATATTAAAGCTTGTATTTTGTATGTTTTTCAATAACAGGACATGTCAACAGATGGATTTTCAATATTTTTATTATATATATATATCTTGAGTGGGAGTGATTCTCGTATATTTAACCCCTTCACTAGAAGCTTCCAGAGATTTGATCTGGTAGGTAGCAGGTAGGTACCTAATAGGATAAGAATTGGGGTAGAACGCTGTATTTACCATCCAAGAAGCCTGCGTGATAATGTTTAAACATCCTGTAAATAACACAGCTATATTTAGATTTACTAGCAGTCAGTAGCTAATGCAGATATTAATTCAAGAAAATAACTCAAATGCAATAAATAAAAAAAAGATAAAAAGATATAAAACAAACTAAGACACGCCTGTAAATAAATTGCAAAAAGGTTAGATAGCGCCCGCGGGGTTTCGAACCCCTGAAAGGATTTATTCATAATTGAATAGCCACGAAGTAACCGCTGAGCTACAGCCAACCCAGAAGCTGAAAGCCTTCCTCTGTTATGATCAGTCTCCTAGTGCTGAGACGTCAGTTTAGTATTGTATTTCTTTTGGTGAAAGTTGGCCACACTCTTTCTAAGGTGTGCATTTTCCTAATCAGGTGCGATACTCTCCTCTTTTTTTTTTTATTTATTTTTTTTTAAATTCTTTATTTTTGTTTGTGCAAAGAGTAACAACAAGCGAGCAAAGCCACGATAGCTTCTGCAGGCATTTTTCATTACATTTCAGAGTGTGGCAGTTAAAAAGGCACAATTTTTTAAATAACATGAGGTTAACAGGCTTTTAAACATCAGTGGTTTATATATTAGCATGCTAGATTAAACATATATATATAAAACAAGGTTAGTTGCGCTGAGGCTTCTAAAAATTGAACATTGCAGCGATAAACTAGACAGCTGTTATGATTAGTGTGAGATTACATTGTCGACTACAGGGAAATACCAGCAGATTCACCATCCGTTTGGACAAGCTTAAGGTGCCCCTTTAGTGAGGACTGGCTAATAAGATATTGCATGCGCTGTTAGAGTGGAGACAAGGTGGGCAACACATTAGTAAACTGCAAGAGGTAAAGGTAAAATAAAGACATTGGAAGAACATCAGTTACTCGATGTTGAACTAACGGTCAGAGATCCGTTCCTGCGGTATAAGGCATACTGTGAAAGTCCTGCTGTAACGAGACATGCCTGGCAGGCTCTGGTCTCCAGTCTGTGTTCATCCGATCCCTTCCGGTCGCCAGATGCAGTCTCCGGGAGCCCCTGTCTCCTGAGACTTCAGAGGTGTAGATATGGCTAGGTGCCAGGTATCTGGGTGGTAAAGTTGCGCTTTAGCAGTCGATCGGCGTTGTCCTGGTGGGTTTGGCGCCTTTAGTCCGCTGTGTGGTTGTTGCAGCTTACATTGGGGGTGTGTGCTTGTCATGGTGAAGGCTCTACGTTTCTGCTTGTGCCACCGGACCTGTTTTCGGTGTCTCTTTGGGGGGTCTCTGGCGGCTATCATTCTGCGTCCCCTCTTGGTGTCCGGGAGTGCGGGTGGTGTGGGTGCAAGAGTGGTACGATTGGCTTTAGCCGTGTTCAATGCCCTCTCCGCAATCCTGGTCCAAAAGGCAGCAAAAATTGCATCTAGCTTAGTCAGGGTGTAGTTTGGCGGTTTTCCGTTTGTCTCCAAGTTTGCTGACTGGCGTGTGGTATCCGCCATTTTAGAGTTAGGGACTCGTGGTGTTCGCAGTCTTTGGGACGTGAGTGTCAGCGGTGGGTATACTGCTGGTGCCGGGATATCCCCCACCGGCAGGGGGGGGAGGGAGAAGGCTCGTGGGTGGACCTCCGCAGTGTCTGAGTTTGCTTTCAGGGGGTTCCGGGCCGGGCGATCGGCCGCCTCACCCATGCCCTCACCTCCTTCCAGGCCGCTATTCAGGCTATTCGTCACTGCGGTAGGCCCCATCAATGCAGCCCGCCTTCCTGGCGGCTTAGAGTTTCAGGAGTAACTTCTGTATGTTCTCCTTTGCAGCCCCTACCTGGGTGATGCAAATTCAAACACTTTTGCAGCATGAGAACTGGGGTTATTTCGAGTAAAACAGGATTTCAGACGAGAGCTCTTGCTGCACGCGTCTGATCAGCTCCCCAGCCAGGCTCCGCCCCCCGATACTCTCCTCTGTTAACCTCTTAATGCCGTCACAGCGTTCTATGCCATCCCGCATTTAATGGGCTTTAACCCCGTAAGGACCAAACTTCTGGAAGAAAAGGGAATCATGACATGTCACACATGTCATGTGTCCTTAAGGGGTTAAAGCCGTTGCCCAGGTGGTCCTCCCATGGCAAACCAGACCCCTGACAAAGAGAGATCACAGGGCCACAATAACTGCCACAATAACTGCCTGTGGATATGCCAACGGGGGACTGTCTGTGCCAACGGGGGACTGTCTGTGCTGTCAAGCAGTCCCCCTGCTGGTGGGAAAAGTAAAAAAAAAAAATTATGACACATAAAAATAATTACATATATATATGTATTATATATATATAATATACATATATCTTATATATGTAACTTAATACTTGGTGTCTTTTAATGTTAATATAATCACATATATTAGTATTAAAATACACTTAGAATGAAGTTACATATATATATAATACATATATATGTATTTTATATATATATATGCAAGATTACAATAATAAATACATAAAATAATTTAAAATAAACTATATATACATGTATAATTTCATTCGAAATGCATTTTGATACTAATATATATTGGTAACAAAATACACTTTGACATTCTATATCTATCTATCTATATATAAAAACAAATAATTGCAAATATATATAAATATATATAATTACATAAATGATTACATAAGTTTACACGTAGAAATGAAATACATATATATGCATATCTTTTACAATTCTGCGTGTATATTTAGGCAATCTTTTAACATAATTATGCGACTTTATAAATTAAAATTTGAGAACGTGGCTGACAAACCAGGCAGAAAGTCCAGAGAATTTAATTCGCGAGCACTATATTTAACCCTGTAACTTTCCAAGACACTATAATACCTGTACATGGGGGGTACTGTTTTACTCGGGAGACTTCGCTGAACTCAAATATTAGTGTTTCAAAATGGTAAATTGTATTGCAACTAAGATATTGTCAGTGACAGTGCCATTTAAAAAATAATAATTCGCACACAAACGGCACTTTCACTGACATAATGATTGCTGTAATACATTTTACTGTTTTGAAACACTAATAACTAACGTGTGCTTCAATAAATTGCAAAAAGGTTAGATAGCGCCCGCGGGGTTTGAACCCCCGAAGGGATTTTTTCTGAAATTGAAAGTTCATGAAGTAACCGCTGAGCTACTGCCAACCCGGAAGCTAATAGCCTTCCTCTGTTATGATCAGTCTGTTAGTGCTGAGACGTCAGCTTAGTGTTGTATTTCTTCTGGTGAAAGTCAGACACACCCTTTCTAAGTTGTGCATTTTCCTAATCTTTGATCAGTGGCAATACTCTCCTCTGTTAACCTCTTAATGTCATTACAGTGTTCTATGCCATCCCGCATTTAATGGGCTTTAAGGCTGTTGAGGCGGCATGGAGTGTCTTTAAGCCCTGGAGCCGCCAGGATGCTCACCTTCCCAGCAATCCGCTTCAGGGGGACTGCCTGACAGCTCAGGCGGTCCTCCCAGGACTGCCTGACAGCCCAGGTGGCAAACCAGGCCCCCGGGGGGCATGTGATCGATCACAGGGCTGCAAAATAGCTGCCTGTGGATATGCCAGTGGGGGGTCTGTTGGTGCTGTCAGGCAGTTCCCCCTCCTGGTGGAAAAGTAAACACATAAAAATAATAATATATATATATATATCTATATCTATATTTATAGTCAGGGCAATATGGCCAAACAGAGAAATCTTAGCAAAATACAATCATAACATCCATAAGTATGCACCAGTCAGTTGTGGTGTGCCAGAACCAACAAAGCAGTAGGCCCACCTTAGAGGGTGTTATAAATAGAGGGAGTGGTGGGAGGGTTGACTCGCCAGACCAGCAACAGTAAGGTGGGAATGGATTGGCAGTCTTTTTAAAGGTGAACCAAGCCCCTCCCACAACTCCAGGCCAAGCCTTCAAATTTGTAGTCGGGGGCAATATGGCCGAACAGAGAAATCTTAGCATAATACAATCATAACATCTATGAGTAGGCACCAGTCGGTTGTGGTGTGCCGAAACCGACAGAGCAGTAGGCCTGTAATAAAAGTGGGCAAAAAGAAATTAACCAGAAAACATAATTCGTGAACCAACTTTGTTTATTGAGATAAGTCACAAAAAGCTTGTCTTAATTCTTTAACAGGATTGGGTATGCAGAGTGTGAGGATTTCCAGCGTCCCATAGCCTTAATAATATGAGCGGGTATGTGGCTAGCGGATGCGGAAGATGCTGCTCCTATACGGAAAGAGTGACCTGAAAATTGATTGGGGTTTAGGCCGAGCCTGGTCAACAGAAGTCGTACATATAGCATGAATTTAGCTGTGGTCAGAGTGTGTCCATGCAGTTCAAACAAAGGCTGTTGAGGTTGTTTTTGGACTGAAAGTGAATAAGTGGCCAAAACTTTAACTGTGCACCATATATTGTGAGTAGGGTACAGCGGAATTTGAATAGTGTGTCCATCGGTGCTGGTTTTGGATTGTCTTAGAGAGAGAATATAATGGTCGGTATGTTTCTGTAAATCATTGGTTCTGAGGTAGTCATGTGCGGTGATGGTTGTGGTTGTGAATTCGCTAGGCCGGAGGAACCCGTAAAAAGCGAGATATAGTGCTGTTTTAATAGTGCTATTGGTCATGGGTTCAAAAGGAGATGAATCTAATAAGTTGGATAGAGAGTGGAAGATGTTGTTGTCTATGGGTAGTCTTTGTGAGGGAACATGTGTATCTCATTTTTTTATGCCTTTAAGTAATGTTTTTATTTGGTATGATGTCAAAAAACCTGTAGTGTTAGGTTGTTGGATAAGCATATGGTGTTGGATTCCGGTAAGGTACAGTTTAATAGTATTAAAGGATAGTTTAATGTTAATGTGGCAAAAAGAGGTAAAATCCAAAATCGTTTCTAACGCAAACATGTTGTGAATATGAAACTAGGTGATACATTTTTTGAATATGTGAAAAGCCCTATCATAAGTGTCCCTAGTGTTTACTGAGAGTGCCATATGAGAAATGTGACGTGCATGATCTAACAAGGTCTTTAATCCATTATCATATCTTGGAATAGAGGTGCAGGTGTTGCTCGTCTGGAAGTGTTGGGTAGTGACAAGAGGAAAGCCTGGAAACAAAACAGAGACAAGTGATCAGCAGAGGTGTTTGTGTACCCCGGAATGTGTATGCATGTTATAAAGAATTGTCAAGTGGCTGCTACCCATGTGAGACGCCTTAGTAGTCTCATAATGACCAGTGATGCAGATTGGCCTTTTTTTGACAATATGGCATGTAGCCAGGTTATCCGAGTTGCACCTGACCGTTTGGCCAGACCAATATGGTCCCCAAGCAATGGCTGCCGCCACGATTGGGTACAACTCGAATAAAGCCGAGGTATCAGAGAATTTGGGTAGTGATTCGACTTCAGTCGGCCAAGGGCCCCAAAGCCATTGATCACGCCAGATGGCGGCAAAGCCTGTGTTAGCTGCGGCATCTGTCCATAGTGTAGGTGATGTGTCGGAGGGGGGTGGTATAAACATGGTTCGCCCGTTCCAAGAGGTGAGAAAAACCCGCCACATGCGTAAATCTGAAGTTGCGTGTACATCTAATGTGATATGTGAAGTGTCCGAGGAAAACAGTGGAAACAAGGATAACAGGTGGGATATAAAAGATCTACCTTGGGGTATGATCCTCATGGCAAAATTGAGCGATCCAAGCAGTGATTGGAGTTCTTTGCGATTGCAATGACCTTGTAGCAGGTAATGTTCAATACTTGCCAGAGTACGCTCAATCTTGTCCTGAGGTAGACTAGCCTGCATGTGTATCGTGTCTAGTTGGATCCCCAAAAATTGCATGTAGGTATCTGGACCCAAAGTTTTGTGAGGAGAGACAGGAATGTTAAGATATTCAAACAGTGCCAACAAGTGATTCAAACTACTGGGTGGAAGAGTGTTATTCTCAATCAAGACGAAATTGTCCACATAGTGGATAACCGAAGGGCACTTGCATACATTTAGTAACAGCCAACATAGAGCCTCTGCAAACGTGTCAAATATATGTGGACTGCTTTTGGAGCCAAAAGTTAATCAGGTGAAGAAACAATACCTCCCTTGCCACTTAATGCCGTGTAGATGCTACAGGGAAGGATGTATGGGTAGTAGCTTAAAGGCGTTTACCACGTCGGTTTTACTCAGCCATGCTCCAGTACCCGCTTGCAGAATGGCCCCTATGGCATGGTTGATAGTGGCGTAGTGTAGTGAAAATTCTTCAGAAGGTATTAGAGAGTTAAAGGACCACTCTAGGCACCCAGACCACTTCAGCTTAATGAAGTGGTCTGGGTGCCAGGTCCAGCTAGGGTTAACCCACTTTTTTTTATAAACATAGCAGTTTCAGAGAAACTGCTATGTTTATAAATGGGTTAATCCAGCCTCTAAAGCCTCTAGTGGCTGTCTCATTGACAGCCGCTAGAGGCGCTTGCATGATTCTCACTGTGAAAATCACAGTGAGAGCACGCCAGCGTCCATAGGAAAGCATTATAAATGCTTTCCTATGAGACCGGCTGAATGCGCACGCAGCTCTTGCCGCCCGTGCGCATTCAGCCGAATGGGAGGAACGGAGGAGGAGAGCTCCCCGCCCAGCGCTGGAAAAAGGTAAGTTTTAACCCCTTTCCTCTCCCCAGAGCCGGGTGGGAGGGGGACCCTGAGGGTGGGGGCACCCTCAGGGCACTGTAGTGGCCCTTTAAGGCTGGGACAGTGGAGGAGTGTGGTGCCGATAAATCAATTATCAGTCTGGGTTTGAGTGAGGTCTTCCCTGTGACCACCCCTATAGGATTGGTTCTCCAAGACGTGAAGGGTGGGGAAAAGAATGGTCCCAACAGAAACCCTTGTTCCAACTCATAAGAGTGTTTACCAACTGTGGATCGTCTAATGTGGATTGTAATGTGGATTGTAGGTTGTCGCATTCCAGTGTACCAGAGGGTAAATGGACCAACCCGGTGTGAAATCCCTCAGTCATGCCCAAAATAATATAGTCAGTGAAATGACGTGAAGGATGTAGCTGTAAAAGTGAGGTCAATAATGTGACGTTCACACACGTGTGATAAGGTTTGGGGAATGCTTTATTTGGGCACATAGTTTTGTCATGGGCTCTAAAACAGTGTGAACATACATGCATAAGCCTACAAGAACTAAATCCACACTTGCCCGCATTAAAGTTATTGCATACCTGGGATTTACCCAGGAATACAATGTCTCTCCCCAGTTTGTAAAACAATCCCCTGGCAGCTTTAGGAAAGTTAGGGGTAGATTGGTTCTGTTCGATCTCAGCTGTGTTTGGGCAGAGATTTGTGTGATGTGCTGTAGATGCGCATACTGCACAAGCTGGAGACCTGATGCCTCCAAAATGCCTGTAGAATAATTCGGTGTCCAATTTGCTCAAATTAATGCTTAAATTGAACTGAGCCAGAGCTGCAGCCACCTTTGCAGAAAAGGAACGGTGGTAATCGTAAAAAGCGGTACCACCGTATTTGTGCCCCAGGTCCACCATCTTGTGCATGTATGCATCCAGCTCTGCTCTTTTCCCTGGGTATACTGAGCAGTAAACATCCCTATAAATCCCAAAACCCAGTACAAATTCAGGGATTGACAGTTTTTTGTTCAGCCTTGGGTCTCTAGACGTTGGCAATGGTGTGCCACTAGGGCCTTCCCCTGCATCAAAGTTGTCAGTGGCCGTATTTAAAAGTCTGAACAACTTGGCATTCCTAGCAGTAGCTGGGAAAGGGATGCAGCATCTTCTAAGTTCTGCAGTGAGACGTGGGATGGTCCATGATCTGAGAGATGAAGGACTAGCAACATCTGTTCCAGGAACAGGGGTACCAGGCCTAGCGGGAGTGCAGGGTAGCGAGAGTTCCTCAGGGATATCAGGATTATGTGACATAACTGAAAAATATAAGGTAGCTTTAATCAATCACTCTGTAATGTTTGATTGGGTGGGTACTGGTAAGGCTAGCTAAATACCAAGCGGCGAAACAATTACACTTCTTGATGGTGACAGATGAGTCCCTGCTAATTGCCAAGCGGCTTGAGAGGCGCTACCTATGCGTGGGTCCGAGGGGAATGTATGAGGCCACCGAACGTTGTGGCGGGGTGTTGGCCTCTCGGTGGCAGTTAAAGCATAAGATAGATTTGGAGTGATAGGTGAGGCCCTCTCTATGCAACAATGCGAGACGGCTAGCTATGATTTGGCCCGAGGGGTGTATTCCTCCGAGTATGAGGAGAGGGGTGTTGGTCTTGCGGGACCACTAGCCTATGGATTAAGTCCAGAAACTTTACCTAATTGGGTCACGTAACCTAGGACCAGTACCCTTCAGAACATGGTAGAGAAATAAAAATGGGTTCTGGCGTAGTACCTGATATGTGAGTCAGGTTGCGCTGTCGAGGTAGAAGTAACCAGTGACCGTAAGAGTCTCGAGATGATAACCTGTGGACATGAGATTTGATATATGAACGTCTGATTGAAACGTAGTGGTATGGCCAGGTCGTGGGCCCTAAAAACAAGAACCTACCCGACACTGCAGAGGGTAGATTTAACGACAATGATGACGGTTTTCGTGCTTGTAAAAGCTACCGTTCAATGGAAAATAACCTAAAAGAGTAAAATACATGCTTAACTAATTTAATGTGTATCAATGGTCTTTATAATAAAAAGCATAATTAAATATCAACCAACCCATAAGAAATAATTGATACCAGTGTCAGAATTCACAATTCCCAGTACGAGCCACTGGTATGACTCTGTGGAAAAAAAATTCAGGAAATCAGGACCCATCATCCTGGTTTAAACCATTCCTATTTATTTAATAGATTTTTAAAAGTGACTGCAATAACGTTTGTAACCAGCAGGGGCAATATCCCCATGGAGTACCGGCTGAATTCGTGCTTATACGTGAGTTATTGTAGTTGCCGAAAGAACTATGTAGAGTGTAGCAACAAACAAATAGATACACCATAATTGACATTCGAAAACCAAACCGATTGATGTTATGCATATCTAACCGAATGATATAGTTAGTTTTAGAACAGGTGAACGTGTGATTAGCTGAGGGAAATTTAAGGCGAATGCCATACTGATTAAAAGAAACTAACTGAATGCCGCTTTGAACCGAACGGGACTCCGCCGTGTAAAGCAAGGGAATTGTAGCGGTTGCTTTACGGCGGGCCTGACTTACGGTTTTCGTGAAGGAGAAGTAACGAGCGGGCTGTGCGGACGCCGGCAACGGTAAGGAGAGCCAGGAAAACACCGGACTTACCGTTGCTGGTCTGGCGAGTCTGAAACGTTTACTTCCGGTGGGAGTGGATTGGCAGCCCTTTTAAAGGTGAACTAAGCCCCTCCCACAACTCCAGGCCAAGCCTTGAAATATATGTATTTATTATAGATATAATGTATATATATCTTATATATGTAACTTCGTACTTAGTGTATTTTAATGTTAATATAATCACATATATTAGTATTAAAATACACTTACATATATATGTGTGTATTTTATATATATATATATATATATGTACAATTACAATAATAAATAATCTATCTATATATAAATACATACAAATAATTGCAAATATATATAAATATAATTACATAAATGATTACATAAGTTTACACGTAGAATTGAAATACATATATATGCATATATATTAAAATCCTACGTGTATATTTATGCAATCTTTTAACATAATTATGTAACTTTATTAATTAAAATTTGAGAACGTGCCTGACAAACCAGTTAGAAAGTCCAGAGAATTTAATTCGCGAGCACTATATTTAACCCTGTAACTTTCAAAGACACCATAAAATCTGTACATGGGGGGTACTGTTTTACTCGGGAGACTTCGCTGAACTCAAATATTAGTGTTTCAAAATGGTAAATTGTATTGCAACGAAGATATTGTCAGTGAAAGTGCAATTTTTTAAAAAAAATTCACACACAAACGACACTTTCACGGACATAATTATTGCTGTATACATTTTACTGTTTTGAAACACTAATAACTAACATGTGCTTCAATAAATTGCAAAAAGGTTAGATAGCGCCCGCGGGGTTTGAACCCCCGAAAGGATTTTTTCTGAAATTGAAAGTTCATGAAGTAACCGCTGAGCTACTGCCAACCCGGAAGCTAATAGCCTTCCTCTGTTATGATCAGTCTGTTAGTGCTGAGACGTCAGCTTAGTGTTGTATTTCTTCTGGTGAAAGTCAGACACACCCTTTCTAAGTTGTGCATTTTCCTAATCTTTGATCAGTGGCAATACTCTCCTCTGTTAACCTCTTAATGTCATTACAGTGTTCTATGCCATCCTGCATTTAATGGGCTTTAAGGCTGTTGAGGCAGCATGGAGTGTCTTTGAGCCCTGGAGCTGCCAGGATGCTCACCTTCCCAGCAATCCGCGTCAGGGGGACTGCCTGACAGTCCAGGTGGTCCTCCCATGGAAGACCAGGTTCCCGGGGGGCATGTACTCGCTCTCAAAGAGCAATCACTGGGCTGCAAAATAGCTGCCTGTGGATATGCCAGTGGGGGGTCTGTCTGTGCTGTCAGGCAGTTCCCCCTCCTGGTGGAAAAGTAAACACATAAAATTGCATAAAAATAATTATATATATATACAGGGAGTGCAGAATTATTAGGCAAGTTGTATTTTTGAGGATTCATTTTATTATTGAACAACAACCATGTTCTCAATGAACCCAAAAAACTCATTAATATCAAAGCTGAATATTTTTGGAAGTAGTTTTTAGTTTGTTTTAGTTATAGCTATGTTAGGGGGATATCTGTGTGTGCAGGTGACTATTACTGTGCATAATTATTAGGCAACTTAACAAAAAACAAATATATACCCATTTCAATTATTTATTATTACCAGTGAAACCAATATAACATCTCAACATTCACAAATATACATTTCTGACATTCAAAAACAAAACAAAAACAAATCAGTGACCAATATAGCCACCTTTCTTTGCAAGGACACTCCAAAACCTGCCATCCATGGATTCTGTCAGTGTTTTGATCTGTTCACCATCAACATTGCGTGCAGCAGCAACCACAGCCTCCCAGACACTGTTCAGAGAGGTGTACTGTTTTCCCTCCTTGTAAATCTCACATTTGATGATGGACCACAGGTTCTCAATGGGGTTCAGATCAGGTGAACAAGGAGGCCATGTCATTAGATTTTCTTCTTTTATACCCTTTCTTGCCAGCCACGCTGTGGAGTACTTGGACGCGTGTGATGGAGCATTGTCCTGCATGAAAATCATGTTTTTCTTGAAGGATGCAGACTTCTTCCTGTACCACTGCTTGAAGAAGGTGTCTTCCAGGAACTGGCAGTAGGACTGGGAGTTGAGCTTGACTCCATCCTCAACCCGAAAAGGCCCCACAAGCTCATCTTTGATGATACCAGCCCAAACCAGTACTCCACCTCCACCTTGCTGGCGTCTGAGTCGGACTGGAGCTCTCTGCCCTTTACCAATCCAGCCACGGGCCCATCCATCTGGCCCATCAAGACTCACTCTCATTTCATCAGTCCATAAAACCTTAGAAAAATCAGTCTTGAGATATTTCTTGGCCCAGTCTTGACGTTTCAGCTTGTGTGTCTTGTTCAGTGGTGGTCGTCTTTCAGCCTTTCTTACCTTGGCCATGTCTCTGAGTATTGCACACCTTGTGCTTTTGGGCACTCCAGTGATGTTGCAGCTCTGAAATATGGCCAAACTGGTGGCAAGTGGCATCGTGGCAGCTGCACGCTTGACTTTTCTCAGTTCATGGGCAGTTATTTTGCGCCTTGGTTTTTCCACACGCTTCTTGCGACCCTGTTGACTATTTTGAATGAAACGCTTGATTGTTCGATGATCACGCTTCAGAAGCTTTGCAATTTTAAGAGTGCTGCATCCCTCTGCAAGATATCTCACTATTTTTGACTTTTCTGAGCCTGTCAAGTCCTTCTTTTGACCCATTTTGCCAAAGGAAAGGAAGTTGCCTAATAATTATGCACACCTGATATAGGGTGTTGATGTCATTAGACCACACCCCTTCTCATTACAGAGATGCACATCACCTAATATGCTTAATTGGTAGTAGGCTTTCGAGCCTATACAGCTTGGAGTAAGACAACATGCATAAAGAGGATGATGTGGTCAAAATACTCATTTGCCTAATAATTCTGCACTCCCTGTATTTATATGTATTATAGTATAATGTACATATATCTTTTATATGTAACTTCATACTTAATGTATTTTAATGTTAATATAATCACATATATTAGTATTAAAATACACTTAGAATGAAGTTACATATATATATATATATATATATATATATATATATGTATAATTACAATAATAAATAATCTATATATAAATACATACAAATAATTGCAAATATATAAAAATAAATTTAATTACATAAATGATTACATAAGTTTACATGTAGAATTGAAATACATATATATGCATATATATTACAATTCTGCGTGTATATTTATGCAATCTTTTAACATAATTATACGACTTTATTAATTAAAATTTGAGGGACGTGCCTGACAAACCAGGCAGAAAGTCCAGAGAATTTAATTCGCGAGCACTATATTTAACCCTGTAACTTTCCAAGACACTATAAAATCTGTACATGGGGGGTACTGTTTTACTCGGGAGACTTTGCAGAACATAAATATTAGTGTTTCAAAACGGTAAATTGTATTGCATTGGTAAGGCTTGCATTTCAGTTTTTTTCAAATTGAAATTTGCCAGATTGGTTATGTTGCCTTTGAGACCAAATGGTAGCCCAGAAATGCGAATTACCCCCATGATGGCATACCATTTGCAAAAGTAGACAACTCAAGGTATTGCAAGTGGGGTATGTCCAGTCTCATTTAGCAGCCACTTAGTCACAAACACTGGCCAGAGTTAGCATTCATATTTCTTTTTTGTATTTGTCACACAAAAACAAATATAAACGCTAAAACAGACTGGACATACCCCATGTTGAAAACCCTGGGTTCTCTACTCTTGCAAATGGTATGCCATCATGGGGGTAATTCTCATTCCTGGGCTACAATACGGTCTCAAAGAGGATATTGAAGAGGATCTGGGAAATGGAAGAAGCAATTCCTCTATTATAGACAGTCTTAAAGATGTTAAACTGGCTCAGGATTTTACATCAGAAGCATCAGTAGACATGATCAGAGCCTTAGCAAGAAATATGGTTTTATCTGTCTCAGCCAGAAGGGCCCTTTGGCTAAGATCATGGACAGCTGACTCATCATCCAAACAGCCTATGCCCCCTAATATTTCAAGGTGAGATGCTTTTTGGTAAGCACTTAGATGAGTGCATCAAGAGAGCCGCAGGAAGGAGACAAGCATTTCTACCACAAGACCGCAGACCCAAAAGATCTTTCAGGGACAGAAAATATGGAGAAAGCTCCTCATTTTGTGATAACAGAATTTATTCACCTAGCAGAGAATACGGGCGTTTCCAAAACTGGAGAGGAGGTCACTCGTCCATTAAAGGTAACAGGGCCAGAGGCTCAGCCCCAACCAAAAGCTCAAGGTCATTCTCTCCCAAACTGGAGGAGTAGGAGCTCGTCTGCTCCATTTTCATCATGTTTGGGAGAAAACAGTTCAAGACAGATGGGTCCTGAGCATCATCGAAAGGGGTTACTTTCTCGAATTCTGGAAAAAAGTTTTCAAGTAACAAATTGGCCACGAGACAAAGATAAAAGAACAGCCCTGAAAGAGTTTATTATATCCCTATAAAAACAAGAGGTCATTATACAGGTGCCATACAAGGAAAGGCACCTGGGTTTCTATGCTCACTTATTCCTAACCAAGGAGGCAATGGGGGAGTGGAGACCGATCTTGGATCTACATCGTCTAAATAGTCATCGGAAGGTGAGGAAGTTCAAGATGGAATCACTTCAATCTATCCTAAAGGTAGTTTTCCCGGGTCAGTGGATGATGTCTATCGACCTAAAAGACGCTTACTTTCACGTGCCCGTAGCCAAGCAACATCAACAAGTCCTAAGATTTGCCGTAGAAAAAGGGCATTATTAATTTCGAGCCCCTCCCTTTGGATTAAGCACTGCCCCCAATACTTTAAAAAAAATATTGGTTGTCCTCATTGCAGAGTTAAGGAAAGAAGGCATCTCAATTTACCACTATCTGGATGACATATTGATTCTAGCAGATGACGAACAATATCTCATCACTCACTGCCAGATTTATATAAAGACCCCTTTAGAACACGGGTGGAAGATAAATATTCCCAAAAGTCGCCTGACACCGTTTTAGAAGATGATTTACCTGGGAGCTGTCTTCAATACTTTAAAGGGAAACGTTTGCCTTTCCAGAGACAGAGGAAAACGTCTCCAATTAAAGGCCAGAGAAATAATGTCTGTAGCAGTGTCTACCGTAGTGAATGTCATGAGCCTGCTGGGATCAATGTTTTCCACAATCGGACTAACAAGATGGGCCCAATGGCGAATGAGGCCGCTACAAGAAAGTTTCTTGGCACAATTCAAGACTGGCAATCTTCACCAACCCATCAGACTGCCCCACAGAATACACCACTCCCTTCTATGGTATCTATTCTACAAGAACATTTACAGAGGTTTTCCACTAGGAGAGGTTCCATGGTTAACCCTCACTACAGATGCGAGCCACTGGGGTTGAAGAGTGCATCTACAACAACAGGTACTCCAAGGAGAATGGAAGGCCTCTGCCAAGGATTTTCAGTCAAACCTTTTGGAACTTCTAGCTGTTTTCAAAGCTCTAAGGAAATTCCCGAAGGACCTTTCCAAGAAATGGGTTAAGGTACGAGTGGACAATGCTACAGTTGTAGCATATATTAATCACCAGGGGGGCACCAGGAGCCGCAGCCTAATCAGGATCCTGAATCCTATGATGTACTGAGTTCAGAAGAATCTTCAGGGACTAGTAGCGATTCATCTACCAGGTCCAAACAATGTAATAGCAGACTTCCTGAGCAGAAAAAACGAGACGCAGGAGAATGGTCTCTTTACGACAAGATCTTCCAAGAAATAGTGAACAGATGGGGACTACGTCAGGTAGATCTAATGGCCAGCAACAAGAACAACAAGGTTCCGAAATACTTTTCCAGGAGGTT